CTAGTCTATTCATCCTCATAAAAAAACAAAAGTTGACAGGACTTACATCCCAAAAATCTAAACTGACAAAACAGAATGCCCCTTTTAAATATAAAATAGTCAATACCCGATGATGGGCGTGTTGATTGAAGATTTCAATCGAAAGGGTAAATCTTTTAGAATAAGATTTTTTAAAGTAACCAAGCAAATATTCAAGCAAAATTTAATCACTAAAAGCTTAAAGCAAAATATCATCCACCCTCCGCAACGATTTGTTAAGAGTGACAAATTTCTGATTGGCTTCAGCTCACAAAAAGCTAATGTCACGTTAAAAGTATCCCTAAATTTATAATCAAAGCAATTGCATGGCAGTAAGGACGTGGCCCGAGTCCTCCATTTGCATGGTTATACCGCAAAATGACATCATTATATTACGGTCACGATAGCAACTTGTATGTTCCCCAACGTCTTTCTACCCTTTGAGTTGTGAATCATAAGAGTACAATTGATTGGTATAAAGCCTTTTGTTAGCTAAAGTCGACTTAAATTTGTACCCTTGATAAAAATCAACCCCAGATTTACAGGTTGGGACGACTACCTCTTCTACTAAGTAGATCAAGGACCATGACGACCCGAAATGACAGAACAATGTGATCTTGATCGGGTTTCATCTTCACTCCCCCACCATCCACTTTAAGCTTCAAGTAGTGAATTTTATTATTTAAAGTTTTAAGTTTGTTGCCATTATATGTTGAATACTCAATTCCTAATGACCAACCTTAATCGAAAGTGCTCTACCGTTATTGGGAGAAGTAATTAACCATAGTAGCTTTCATCTATAGGAAACATCGAACTTCAGATTAAAAAAACTTCTTGCTAAATGAAAGTGAAATATCTGGATAGTATCCGATCTACAATCTGACTCTCCAAAGCTCTCTCAAAACAAAAAAAAAAACAAAAAAAAATTTAGAGAGTTGTCATGGGGAGCGGTCGTTGAATTTTTGGAGCACCCAGAGCAAAGGAAGAGCAAGCCAACTCAAGGGAGAATCTCTCACTTTAAGTAAATGTACAATCTCTTATTTTGTGTTATCATTCAGTCATCTCTCCTTAAAGTTTAATCTGTATAGCCTCCATAATTCTGACACTAACATGTTCACTTTAGGTCAATTCAAATGTGGTACAACCTAAGATCATCAATAACTCTCATCTCCAATTTGGGATCCCCAACACATTTCCATCTACAACAACAACAACAACAACAAGCCTTTGTCCCGCTAAGTGGGTTTGTCTACATGGATCTTTTTTTCCACCTACTGAGTGTCATATTTTCATTTAATTCTAATAAATTAATATCATTTTTTATACAACATAGCAAAGTCTTTCAGGTCAGCCTCTACCTTTCTTAGCATAAGTTGAATCTAAAACATCAACTCTCCTAACAATATCATCAGATGGTCGATGTTTAATGTGATTAAACAATCCAAGATGACTCTCTCTAATCTTTTCTGCCACTAGAGCTACACCAATCCTTCCACGAATACAATCATTTAGCATTTTGTCGTTGAGAGTCAAGCCGCTCATCCACCTAAGGTATCACCACCGCCTTATAACATTTTTCTTTAAATCTAAGTCGCACTTTTCTATCACATAATAGACCCGATGCATTCCTCCACTTCAACCATCCAACATGAATTCTACTAAAAACATCCTCAAAACATCCTCATCTATATCACCATCCTCATCTATATCACCATCAATTTGAACAATAAACCCAATATATCTAAAACGTTCACTCTTTTTAATGATTTAATCACCATTGTTACAGCCTTGTCACTAGATCTACTACGACTAAAAGTACATTCCATGTATTCAATTTTAGATCTACTCAAATGAAAGTCTTTAGACTCTAATGTAGACCTTCATAATTCAAATTTATCCTGAACGCTTTCCCTAGTCTTATCCACAAGAAAGATATCATCAGCGAAAACATTCACAAGGTACATATTGTACATGTCGAGTAAGTGCATCCATAACAAAGGCAAAAAAAATATGGACTTAAAGCCAATTTCTGATGTAATCCAACTAAAAAATGAAAAAAGTCGGTCAATCCTACTCCTGTTCGAACACAAGTAACAGCTCTAGTATACACATTTTTAATGACTTGAATATAAGTCATATCAATACATTTCTTTTCTCAAACTCTCCAAAGAACATCTTTTGGAAAGTAATAATAAGCTTTTTCTAAATCAATAAAAATCATATGTAAATCCTCCTTACTCTGTCCATATTTCGCCATCAAATCTCTCAATAAATATATAGCTTCCATAGCATACTTGTTTGACAAAAATCCAAACTGATTATGAGAAAATTTTATATCACGTCTTAACGTATGTTCAATTACTCTCTCACATAATTTTAATATATGATACATTAATTAATTCTTCTATAATTTGCACGCTCCTGTGCACACCTTTATTCTTAAAAATGGGGATAAAAATACTTTTCCTCCATTACTCAGACATTTTTTTCATTTTTTAAAAAAAATTAAAAATTTTAGTAAGCCAAGAAATCCTCACATCTCCTAAATATTTTTACACTTCTATTGGGCTATCATCGGATTCTACTGACTTTCCGCTTTTTGTTTTCTTTAAAACCTCCTCAACTTTTTTGTCACTAATGTGCTGGTAAAAATAAAAAATTTTATTATCATTAATGATATTAAGATCACTATGATCGATCATATTTTCGAAAACTTCATTGAAAAGTTAATCAAAATATTTCACCCACCTATATTAAATATTTTCCTCTAAGAAAAGCACTTCTGATGTCCATCTTTAATACACTTTACTTGAATTAAATCTTTACCTTTCTTTTCTCTTTGTTTGGTTAATTTATACATATATTTTTCAACATCTTTAGTATTTAATCTATTTAAAACTCACTAAAAGCAGAATTCTTAGCATCATAAAGTGATACCTTAGGCTCCATACAGGCAACTTTATTTTTTTTTTTCAATTCTCTAAGCATTTAGATTTAAATTAAATTTTTATAACATAATTTTCAATATTTTAGTTTTCTTGCATATTATTATTCCACCACCAACTATTTTTATTTATAAATACTTTTCATTTTGGTTATCCAATTACATTTTTGTCACTTGTTTAATAGTATTTGTTACTTTATCACACATAGAATTAGTTTCTTCATGTACATCTCAAATCTTAAGTTTACTCGTAAAAATAACTTTATTTGTCTTTTAGGTGCCCACATCTAATTCTATGACATTATATTTGTTATCTTCGATAGGGCTGTAAACGAGCCGAGCTTGAGCGAGCTCAGGCTTG